AGAGAGAGAGAGAGAGAGAGAGAGAGAGAGAGAGAGAGAGAGAGAGATCTGATAAATGTGCACTTGAGTGTGGGCGCGCTCTGCACAGGGCTAGAGGAGGACAGGCGTCTTATCCTGTGGCCTTCCGACTCCCTGACGCTATCTGTGCTGGGCAGGCAACACGCTCCAGCCATCTTCCTGTCTCTGTGCCCCGTTACCCGACAGCTTCCAACACTGGGGTGACAGGAACATTGGATCCTGAGGGACTCTTCTAGAGGTGAGACCCAAACGCAGTCAGGCATTCTTCTGAATGAGCTACCTCGCCAGCCCCGGCAGATTTGGTGGTTTTTGTTGTTGTTCTTGAATTACTAACTGTAACAGTTAGTTTTTGTCAATTTGACAGAAACTAGAGTCACCTCAGAAGAGGGAACCTTAATTTAGGAATTGCCTACATCAGTTGGCATGTCTGCTTGATTAATGATTGATGTGGTTGGGTCCATCCCACTGTGGCAGTGCCATCTCTGGGCAGGGGGTCCTAGGCTGAACAAGCTGGAAGAAAGCTGGCACTCAGGGTTCCCCTAGAGTCTCTGTGACAATTCCGGCCTCCAAGTTCCCGCCTCAATTGTCTTGATGGTGGACTGTAACATGAACGATGAAGCAAACCCTTTCTTTCCTCAGGCTGATGTGGTCAGTATTTTATCACAGTAACACAGCCCAATCTAGGATGCTAACCCCTTGAGGCCAGCGTAGAAAGTGCTGAGTTTCACAGAAATGAAGAAAGCCAAAATAGGGTTTCACTTTATTTGATGAGGCTTTTTATAGTCCATGTATTTATCAAACTTCCTGCTAAAATGAAAAAATTGAAACCTACCCACCCACACTTCTCTAGTTCTAATGAATTCTCTTTTTGGTATGGGTGGGAAGAAAAGGGAGGAGCAGTCACTGGTTTCAAGTTCAATGTCCAGAAGGAGAGTCAAGGTCAGAGAGACCTTAATCCCACGTTTCTAAGGCCTTCCAATTGTTAACTCACCATGCTCATCCTGGTCTGTACTTTGGGGGTACAGTTTATCAACTCACCATGCTCAGCATAGCAAAGCACCCTACTTTGGGGGCACATTTATAGTTTTCTGGGTCCCAACAAATAGAAGTTATATTTATCTATCTGATGAAACCAGTAATAGGTGGAAGACTCACCACTGTGATCATAAAAAAAAATCCTATTATTTCAGTCAACTGCCTCTGTAACATAATAGGTACCTTATCATGTCAATGGATTATGTCATAATCCATCACAATGAAAGCTCATTTGAGGGCCAAGTGACACTTGGAATTATTGTCTTAGTCTCTGACCTTTAGAAATGTGATCTGGAAGGCCATTTTAGGTTATAATCCCAAGGCTTCCTGGTGCCTCATCTTTGTTCCGTAACAGAAACAAACAAAA